ACATGAGCCTCTCTTTTCGGCCATCAGCACTTTAGTTACAATGTTTTTCCTCCCCAGAATGTCCTTCTTTCCATCTCCCTATGGTAAAGTACTGCTGGCCTCTTAGTGCCCAGCTCAGATGTCACCTCCGCTGTGAAGCCTTTCCTGACACAGGACAGCTGGAGATACTCTTTTCTTCCCAGAATCCTGGGAACTTGTTTTAATCTCCTGTGTGAGATTTAGAACAGTCTATCCTCTATAACAGGTTTTTTTTTTTTTTTTTTTGTATAAACATTATTTCTTCCAAAGTAGACCATGTTCCACAGAGGAAAGGAAATTATTTCTTATTTATTTTTGATACCCCGCATAGTGCCATAGTGCTTATTGAATGAATAGATGTAAAACCAGAGGACAGGCTTTGCTCTCAAATAATTTATAATCTTATAGCAAAAATATAAAAAGCACCAATCACTCTCTGAGTAATATCTAAATTTCTTTGTCCAGAATTTCACATTTCACAGATAGCTGACATTCCAGTTCTTAATTCTTTAATTTTCTGTGAGAATAAATAAGCATTTTTGTTATTGCCACATGTCAATCATCTTTCATTTCCTGTTATTCTTGCAATTAAGTGTGTAATTTGTGTCATGTAATTTTCCATTTGTTACTAAACCACCAATAAGATGAAAATGTCTCCTTACGTCTATAGCAATAAAAACAATTAGCAAATTGTGTTTCTGTGTTTCTAATGTAAACCAACAATTACTGTAAAAGATGTAGCTTGAGTATAAATGATGAAGAACATATTCACAGATGCATTTAAAAATTTCACATAGGGAAACTCCATTCACCAACTCTCTTCATTTATGAACACCTCCAACTATAAAGCAAGTCATAAACCTTAGTTCTTTGTAATCAAGCAAATACCTTAAACATAGACTTGGACATAAAAACATTATAATTAAATTGTACCTTTTTCTTCCAAAAGTAGAATTACCCTTTATTAAAACAACAGTGTTTATAAATGTTCTGGTTTCCTTTCTCAGATATGTTTTCTATGCTCCTCCAGTTCAGCTAGTTCATAGGTTCATCAAGGGAAGGCACATGTTTCTTCCCTTGAGCTTTTAACCGCTAGTGTCTAGTCCATTACACCAAGTATTCTGGTCTTCAAGCAGTGAGAGTTTAAGTAATGCTTGATATTAGGTTGGTTCAAAAGTCATTGTGGTTTTTTTGGCCAATATTTTGATGTCAAATAATTAGTACTGAAAATAGAATGAAGTAAGTTGTCATTGATTTCTTTGTTCAAAGTTGTCCCTCCAAATATTACCTAAGCAACTACTATTCACTGTTCAATAAAATGATATTTTTTCTAAATATTTCTAAATTTAGACCCAAGTCTGTTATATAAAAGATAACATGATCAGGGGCTACAAAATGAGTAGGCTGATAGCCAGCAAACTACATAAATATGGGCTGTACATACTATCATGGAGATAGAGACAAACTCTAAGGGAAGATAGTGGAAAGAATAATTACTTCTTCTTGGTGCTCACCTCCACCAGTCTAACCACCAGTGATTGTTTGTCTAACAGGCACATGTCTTGGTTATGCTTCTGAATTTTTATAAGCAGCACTTAACTCTACTTTCTCCCTGGTTGGTTGTCAAAGCATATGTATCTGTCCTTATCAACAATGCAGGCTTTTGTGCTCCAGGTAGGATTGTGTTAGAGATTACAGCCTTTAACTCCCTGTGGACCCATTCTTATTCAATGTCCAGCTGTGATAAATAATATTTATGGAAAGGTGGTTCAAAGGCATTGGTGTTCATACATGACTCTAGATAAGATAAATGTTACCGTTGGATTAAACTAGATCATAACAAGGCTTTGTACTTGAATACATTGTTTTGATTTCCTGTAGACCTGCCTTCTCCCAGTTTGTGCCTTGGTCTAAGCCATCAGCCTACAGAGAGAGCCATGAAACTCCATGGTACATGATAGAACTCACTACTATATTTACTGTATAGGTTGACATTAGGGCATGGTGTAATGTATCACACAGGATCTTCATTTGATGACACCCAGGAATAAGGTTGCTCAATATCAGGAAAAACTGTTCATATCCTTTGTAAAAGATACTAATCCAATGCCATCCCCAAGACCCTCCTTTGCCCTCCTTGCTCTAAAAAAGCCAAAATGGCAGATACTAATTTAGCAGTCTCTCTTGTAGCCAGGGATGTTCATATGATCCAGTTCTGGCCATGAAACATAAAAGAAAGTCTACAAGGGGGCTTTTAGGGTGGCAATTGCTTCCTGATGAGAGCTACAGATGGACAAGACCTCTATAGTCTTCTCCCTGCCTTGCTCATGGATATGATGCCACAAGTTAGCAGTTCACTTGAGACAATGGAGCTACAAGTATGACAGAGACCAACAGCCTAAGGATAGCAGAGATGACAGATATGAAAACCCGCATCATTGATAATATGACTGAACAACTGCCTACCTCTGGGCATCTTGTGATATTAGAAAAAAATCCTAACAATGCCTGTAAGCCACTCCTAGTTAGGTGTTCTGTTACTTGCAACCTAATGTATCCTAACCAATAATCTAACAACCAGATTAGTTTTTATTTTATGGATTGTTATTAGTCTTGCAATTAAGCCTATTTCATCTTAACTTTAGCCACCAGAAAGTTACAAAATTGTAACCTATGTCTACCATGCCACTGTAAGTTCTGCTAGTTCAACTTTCTCAATCCTAAATATGTTTTGATGTTTATTTTCCTAAAATATTTGTTATGTTTTTTGTATAATATGTACTTTTATAAGTTAAAATTTTTCCAGAGCATGGCAAGGCATAAATAAACATATAAACAAACCCCCAAAATTTAACTCCACTGGAGGATGGAGAAACTAGTTGGTTTATTAAAGTTTCACAGGAGGATGGCATCTGGGTCCCTCTCTTTAGTTCAATTCATGAATTCCAATCATTCCTAAGGTTTTAACTGAAGTGAATTTGTATGTAGTTTAAACAGTGGCCTGTTAAAAATTATGCATCTATTAAATTCAGCACTTACTATAGAATCTTAAACTAGGGGGCCCACAATTGAACTTGAGGAAATCTATAATCTCCATGACATAAGCAAAATTTTTATTTTACACACAAATGTGTATTTTCCTGGGTGAAGCTCTGAGGCTTTCATCAGATTCACAAAGAAGTCTATTATCCCAAAAAAGTTATGACCTACTGGGCTAAGTTACATTTTCCTTTTTTGAGTCCCTCTCCCCCAAATCACCATTTTATTCATCTGGGTTTTTGCTTTCTGTCAAGACCCTAAGGTCTATCAGAAGGCTGATGCCTCGTTATTCTGAGATTGCACACTCAATAAATGTTAGTTGACTTGTATGGGTATTTAATTATTTACACTGCATTTGGTGTCTTTTGGAATAGCAGTGTCTGGTTGATCATTCTAAAGGCTCTGAATCCTCAGCTGCATCCCAGTGGGCTTAGCGTGTTGTAAACACACGAATCAAAGTAGTGTGCAGGAGGAGAAAAATCATTCCTTTCAAGGATAATGTGTTTTTCATGAGAAACAAGTCATTACAGAATCATCGCACCCATGCGTGTTCTCATTCTACCTCTTCATCTCTTCTCTCTTTTCAAATTATCTCACCTCCTCCTCCTTCCCTCACTGTGTTACCCTTCCACTTTATTATCCTGTATTTTATTAATTTACCATCTCCTTCTTTAGTATATTTTAATGACTTCTACATAATATATGTCTTTGAACTACTTTCCTGTCTTTGAACTACCTGACTCTCTGTTCCCTTTTTCCTCATGTGGCACCTGTCTCTTCTTCAGCTGCTGTACATGATACTGTCATGCTCCAAGTGGATCCATTGCATATTTTCACAAACTTCAAGTTCCCGACACATAAAAAGACAGTATTCATACCCTGTTTTACCATGATATTTTGATTCTCCCTGAAGATTTAACTTTACTGCCATTTTAATCTTTTTCCTATTCCCTTTCGCATCTGTGAATACAGACCCAATAATTTACTTGTATCAATTTTCTAGTTATGCAAGTTCTGTGGAAACTTCCCCCCAGTTGATATATGTGAAGTGATCGATTCATCACCTTTCATAGTTCAACTTTCTCTCCCTGGTTAAAATTAAAAGTGGGTTTAAGTAAGCCAGAGATTTTTGAAGATTTCTGTCGTGAGAGGGATGACTCTATGGGGGCAAAGTCTTGGTGAAAATTTCATGTGTCTGTTGAGAGTTTAGGGGTTTTTTTTTGTTTTTGTTTTTTAATAGCAGCTAAGTTACAATTTTAACCAACATTTTATTACATGCAGAGAGTAAACATCTGGGAATCATCCTGGGTAATCAGTGTGAATTTTTGTGGTGAAATAGAGGCTTATATTATATACTAGAGCTTAGCGATTACAGTCTTAATGATCTGTATGTTATTCACAAAATGCTTTGTTTTAAATCTGTCTTTAAAAAATAATTAGAATTCAAGTTATTTGTGAAACAGGAATCCTGCCACTTTTTTTTTTTACTTTACATACAACTCCCTAGGACAGTCTGGTTGCTAGAGAAGGGAGTTTAGTATTGGTTTGTTTTTGGTGTGTTTGCTTTTTTTCTTTAACTCACTATTTGTGAAATTTAAGAAGCAGTAAGGATCCTAAGTCAGGCAAGTAAGCTAGAAAACAATCAAACTCGAAAATCACCCAGGCATGAAATCCCGTTGAACTAAGGAATGCTTCCAACATTAAGTTCTCCATAAGCTTGAACTATAAATGATAACATTTCAAAAATACTTTCTAAAGGAAGATTCATATTAGGAAACTTGATCATCTAAAATTAGACAAACTTATCTTCTCTTACTATCCTAAAATAATAGCCTACACCCTTACCCAATATGATCTAAAAATAACAGATTGTATATCACCCCTAAAGTAACTTGGCTTGGGCCCAAGAACTAATACATACATGACACTCAGAATTGCATCCAAAAAAAAGAAATGGCATTTTCCTTCTTGTGAGTTCTCACAGCACAGTAAGCCTTCATGGCATTATAATCCTAATTAATGTTCATCTTCTTCACTGTGTTCAAGTGTGAAAAATGCAAAGCAGCAACACTCTTCACTGGTAATCAGGCTCCCAAGAGGCTGCAGTTTCAGAAGGTGTGTCTCAAACTCGATTTTAAGTCTTCCACTCTAACAGGGATTATGTGTTTTCACTCTGAAAGCTGATAACCTGAGAAATTAAAGACACAGGAAAGGAAAACCAATGCATGGAAAATGCTAGTTTTTGTTATTTTATTTTTTCACTTAATATGAAGGAGTCATATGGATATAGGCCAAATAATGCTAGAAGTAGAAGAATGCTAGGAATTACAACAGTAAAGAGTGGGTTGAAGGCAAGGAGGAGATGAAGATGGAGAGAGTAACAAAGAGAGAAAAACAGCAACTCAAAGGGGAAAGGCAACAGGGCTGCATCCTGACTTTTGTGGGCTTCTTTCTCCATGAAAAAAAAATTGAAATTTCTATTTTACTACTGCATTGGAATGAAGATGAATACACTTACATTATGTATAAAAATATTTTCTTCAACCTGAAAGTTCATCTTTTTCTTCTGATTTTGAAAGAAATAAAAACATTTTTGTGTGCTCCTAAAAGTGCTGTGGGCCTAAGCACCAGGTCCACTGTGTCTAATGGTTAAGTTGTCCCTGGCAGATAGAAAGAGAGGGAGGGAGGGGGAACGTTCTGCTTGGAAGTGAGGGGCAAATTAAAGCAAGCAGAAGAAAAATTAAATAAGCACATATGTTGGTGTATTTCCATCATTAGCTATAAATTATATATTAAATTATTCATAATCATGCCAGGTAACCTTTATTGAATACTATGTGCTAAGCACATTACATTATCTCACTCATTCCACACAATAACCTTCAAACTAAGTGGAAGAAGATGTGCCTTGATGCTTTAGGGCCTCTTGGGTCACAGGCTAGAATTCAGAATTGAATGCAATCACAAACATAAAGTGCACAGAACTCCATTCTCAACCTACCTTTCCCAGGCAGTCTCCGTAACATCCCTGGCTTTAGCAGTCACCCACTGGCTGGTGACTACCAAATGTATAGCTCCAGCTGTTTTCGTTAGGATATTTTCAATTGTCAATAACAAGATGCTTATCCAAATGATACAGATGGCCAGTAAGCCATCAAGGCTAACCCAAGTATCCTTGGAATCACCCTATTTCACCTGCTTATCACTCCTTACTTGAATTATTGCAATACCATCCTACAAGGCCTCCTTACCTCAAGTACCCTTTGACCCACGTCCCCATTGCTACCAGAATTATGCTTCCAGGTGGCCTAATGAGGGAAGAGAAAAAGCATGTCACTATTTTGTGTAACTTCCTGTAGTAGCTCCCCTTCACCTTCTGGATATGGTCCATGTATTTTTTTATTTGGCAAATACTTATTGGGATCCCCATGTCAGGTTTTGGTTTCGTGATATGAATGAAAGATGAACTAAATAGATGGGGTCCCTGCTTTCATGGGCATGCACAGTCTAGGGGACTCCAGAGGGAGTGGATAGGAGTACCTAGGGTGAAATCCTGATCCAGAGAACAGAGCCACTAACCTGTTTTTAAGGAAAATCAGCTTCATGAGCTTGGAGGGGAAGGAGCTGCTAAAGAATCAAATAGTGATGTTCCCAGTGCTCTTCAGTGTCCTCAGAATTCCTTGACCCTTATTAAATGGCTCACCATAGTGTCTTCATAACTGTTAATGTTCCAGCCTTTCCCCTGGGAAAGCTAACTTTTTTTCCTAATGCCTAAAACTTCTGTGCACATTATTTCATTTCATTTTTCTGCTTATGTATACCCTGCCTTGGTCCTCCTCCAGCCCCCACAAGAAAATATCTGGGATTTGGGATTGCTTGACCCATAGTAGAAATTCAAAAATGACTGAACACCTTGACAAGTGAAAAAACTGAGACCCAGAAAAGTTAAACCTGTAACCCAAGGCCAAGCAAATAAATTTCCTCTGAAAGACATATAAAGGTGGAAGGCTTATCATGAAAGGTAAGTTCTGCATCATAGGCAGTGTCTGACAACAGAGTGGATGCTATGGGTCATAGATCATCCTGAAGTCCTCGTGGCCCTGTTCAAGCTGTGATTCTGCAAAGCACAGAGCAGGCTGGCAATTTACAACCCCTTACAGAACTTCCTAACTTTAAACAAATATTACAACAATTTTATCTAAGTTTGAGATTTTAAATATTTTAGAGAATTTTTGGATAGTGCCTACAAATCTTTTAAAGAAGTTTAATAGGTTCTAGACAAATATACATTCTAACGAGAACCCAAAATTATATCTATCTATATAATATAATTTAGCCTTTTAGAAAATCAGTGTGCTATAATAAAAGCATAACACATTTAATTCTTTTACTTATTCATTTATTTATTTTTCTCTCACCTTAGACCTAGAAACACGTTTTGTCCACGAAAGCAGTTTCAAGTGAGTGAGTTACGCTGAATGCCCAGAGAGAACAATGCAACTTCTGGAAATCCCGTGGTAGCAGCCAAAGTTGTCAATGAATCAAGAATCAACTTCGAGGAATGTTTTGGTATGTAAATGCTTCTAATGAATATGCTGAAATCATGTGAAATAGCCCTCATCATCATCAACAAATATTTGTTAGGCTTATCGTGTGGATGGATTAATGAGGATATGAAAGCCTTAAATGTCCAAAACTGACATTGCCTCAGGATGCCCTCTTGGGTTCTTAAGCCTAGTTTTTATTTAACTAGAGCCCTTAGCTTTTTATTGGACATTGTACCTTTGTACCTTCAAATTATAATAAAAGTAATTGTAAAAATATTATTATTCTTATTTTAACTGTGCAACCCAAATTTCTGGAATATACCTGGCATAGAGCAGGATGAAATCATACTTAGAAAAAAACCCCAAAACTTTGAAGACATTTTGGTAGGATTCATCCCTCCTGAAAATTTGTTGGTCTATTCCATGACATCCGCTGACCAGTATTGCATACGTTCAATTCTATGATTTAATCAGTTATTTTTGACCTTAACACTGAACATTTTCCCACCTCCCTAGAAATGCCAGAGAGGAATCCAATCTTCTCTAAGCTCAAGAAATGCATTAATAATTTCCTTATACCACCTAGTCAAATATCTTTTCTCCCAGACACGTTCTGCTTTGTATAAATGAGTTGCAAAGACCTGTCAATTCAACTGTCAATGACAAACAAAGCCTATTTGTCTTAAAATTTTGTCAAGGCAGAATTTTATCTGTAAATTTCATTTCAAATTGTGCCTAGCAGATTGCCCTATGTTTGCAGAAAAAAATCAGTTTGTTAACAGTAGGACCCAAATACTAAACTTACAAAGATAGTCCAAGAGGAAGCATCCAAGACAAACAGAAACTTCCAAAAGTTGTAAATCACCAAAGGACACACAATTGATTTGTGTTTTACCGAGTTGTCACATCATAGGCTCATAGTAAATGAGTACAACATGGCTCGAAATCTATGGGTAGAGTTTCTCCCATTACTTAACGTGTGCACATGCATATCACATTCAGATCTTTGCCTTCACTAAAAAAAGTAAACAGTGTGATGACATCATTCACAGCCAATCAAAGCATAGCCCCATGGCAAAGGAAGTCCTGGGAGATCCTTCTGCAACTGAGCACGAGAGTGAACATGCAATATGTTTGATAAGCTGTCCTAGTACATGTCCAGGGGTTCTAAGCTCTATTTACAAAATAGCATTTGTTTCTGCTTCAAAAACAGCTGAGGGTGGCCAGCAATATATCACATTTACAAGAGGAGCAATTGCAGTAATAGACACAGGATGACCAGGAACAACCTTTGTTCGTCGTTCCATCACATGGCTCAATAATAAATATTACTCATCCAGTGTACACATAGGATGTGGTGAGGCAAAACCCTCTCCCAGAGGTCAGAGTACACTCCCTTTTCCAGGCAGATCCCTTAATCAAATTTATTGTCTTTACTTTGGGGAACCACAATTTTCCCATCAAGTAGAAGCCAATCTCGGAACAGTAGATTGGGGCCTATTTATTATAGTCACTTTCAAGTTCCCCTTTTTTCCTTCTGAGTCCCAAACAGTTCATGGTCCCTTGGTCTTGACTAAACCAGTCTCATATTTTGAAGTTTTGCTTTCTCTCTTATCTAGCCTTCCGTAAGTTCCAAATGATCTCACTTTGTAGTTTCATTGACTAGAGATACCACAAAAATCAGAAGTCACTGATAATGTACTTGGAGGCACAGGTCCATTGTATGAGATTCTATCGTTTTGGTTCTTCATGAGAAGACAGTCTTATTTCAACACAGGGTTGTAGATCCATTACTAGGAGTCAGCAGAATTATAAAATAGTATTGTGCAATACACAATATAATCAATTTAATAGAAAGTATTGTATTATTTTAAAAACACAAATATACTGTGGTTTGACTTTTTTTCTATAAAAAAATAGCCTTTTTTAAAGAAATTCAAAGTATATAGAAAACATCACACTCTACACCTTCGTATGAAGAAAAGTCATAAAGAAAGAAAACTGGCTGGGCATGCTGGCTCACGCCTATAATCCCTACAGTTTGGGAGGCCAAGGCGGGCAGATCACCTGAGGTCAGGAGTTCGAGATCAGCCTGACCAACATGGAGAAACCCCATCTCTACTAAAAACACAAAATTAGCCAGGTGTGGTGGCTCATGCCTATAATCCCAGCTACTTGGGAGGCTGAGGCAGGAGAATTGCTTGAACCCGGGAGGCAGAGGTTGCAGTAAGCCAAGATCCTGCCATTGCACTCCAGCCTAGGCAACAAGAGTGAAACTCCACCAAAAAAAAAAAAAAAAAATGAAATGAAGAAAGAAAGAAAGAGAGTGAACTGATAGAAAGAAGTGACACTCAAATGCCTACCTTGGACTTACCAAAAAAACCCCAAACAAACAACATTTGGCACAGAGTACATCCTCTGAAGATCTTTACCAACTAGCAATAAACTCATTTTATAAATACCGCCTCACTGAGGACTAAGTCTGAGCCAAGTTAGATACTGTCACTATGAATGATACCTTTCCAGGAAGGACTACAAAGATCAGAGAAAGACCAGTCCTCATCTGCATAGTCTGGTGTATGAAGCAAGATTTTTTCTTAGTGTCCAACCCATGGCTCTAGTCAAGTACTTGGAGGCACAGGTCCATTGTATGAGATTCTATCGTTTTGGTTCTTCATGAGAAGACAGAGTTCGAGATTTTAAATATTTTAGAGAATTTTTGGATAGTGCCTACAAATCTTTTAAAGAAGTTTAATAGGTTCTAGACAAATATACATTCTAACAGATCTTTCCCGTGCTGTTCTCGTGATAGTGAATAAGTCTCACGAGACCCGATGGTTTTAAAAAGAGGAGTTCCCTGCACAAGCTCTCTCTTTTCTGCTGCCTCCCATGTAAGATGTGACTTGCTTCTCCTTGCCTTCTGCCATGATTGTGAGGCCTCCCCAACCATGTGGAACTGTAAGTTCATTAATCCCTTTTTCCTATATTAATTACCCAGTTTTAGGTATACCTTTATCATCAGTGTGAAAATGAACTAATACACTTGATATATTTTAAAATTCCTCCTCTTTCAATAAAAAGCTGTCTCAGGGACAATGGCACGTAATAAAGTCTACACCTGCCACGCTACGAAAATCCAGGCTGCTTCTTGACCAGAAGTCACTTAAAAGGCTGAGCGGTTTCAAAGATCGTTGCGGGTTGGGCATGAACAATTCCAGTTTACCTCTACCTTAGTCCTCAAGCTAACTATCACTGTTTACTTACCTTTACTTGCCTACATCTCTCCAATCTCTGGGACATCTTCCTACTTTACTGATATTCCTCTTTTCTCTGGAACGTAGAGACTGTATCTCAGATCCCCAACCATACATGCTGTTGCAGTCAGGACCAACATGAAGATGCTAAGATTCCCAGGTTCAACTCCCTCCCCTTGTGTTTTCCCCCACTAGGATAGCCATTCTGAGACCCTTGTAAATTTGCCCCGTGGATTTTATTTTGGTCCTAAAGTTCAGAGTTTAATGGTGGGAAGTTAAGGAAGGGTAGGGCTTTTCTCAAGCCTCCAACCCTATGACCCCCAATAAAAAGATTCCAGATAGCTTTCAATCTTTTCCATTTATACTGTCAATCCAAGAAGAGATTTTATCTGAGCATCATAAAAATAATGCCAAACAACAAGCCCTTATCTGTTTTGGTCAGTTCAAATCAGTTAGTGATTTCTGCACTTCCTAATATTTTAAAGGACTGTTGAAAGAGTGTCCTAACATTTCTTTTGACATTGTTAAGAGAGTTTTTTTGGAACAATTCCAGAAAATATTCCAAGTTGAGGCTGGAGGAAAAGAGCCAAGGCATAATATGGTTTGTATTTAAAGTTTCTCCATATCAGATGAGATTATTGTGTTGAAAGTTCCTTTTTCCTATGTATATTTTTAAGCTACATTTTGCCTGCTGAAATGTAGCCAGTGGAATTATTGAAGCCCCAAACTTCTTTCTGAAAAGTAGCAGGAAATGCACTTCTTAGAGAGAAATGACATTTCTGAAGTGGAAGAATTGGTGGAAATTAAGTTCCTCAGAGGGAAATTTTTTTCTCACAAAGTTGGCGGCCCAGGCTCTGGTGAGCCCCAGGCCTAACCTTTGGCAAATTTGATAAATTGCCAAGCTGAGCTTGGGTGCAACCTCCTGCACATCCACACTGGCACACACAGCACTAAACACTTTAGGTCTTTGTCTGACCAATGTCAAGAAACCCCCAGAGAGTGCCCTATTGGACTTCTCTCTTCTCAGTGAAAATGTCCTCTTAGGAGGTTATCCTATTGTGAATAGAGAAAATAGGGTCAAATTACAGAATGTTGAATGCCACTGGAGGCAACAATTTTTTTAAAAATCTTGAAAATCATCCAGTAGGGTTATTTCCAGAACTGTTAATTTTTAATATTTTAGCTGAAAATCTCTTTCTCAAAAAAAAAGTTTCAAAAAGGCCTAAGGTATAAATAAGTGAACCAAGAGCTATACTGGTTTCAACCCCTTTTCTTTCCAGAGGGAGAACCTGGAAATCCCCAGATATTTAAAAAGCCATAACTCTAATCCAGTCCCTTCAATTCACAGATGACAAACTTCAGCCCAAAAGTGAATCAACTTGTCCAACATTACCAAATGAAATAATGACAAAAGTCAAAAGCTCCTCAAGGGCATGTCTTTACTGTCACTGGACCTGACACAGGCCCTCAAAAGCCCTGTAATAAATGCTAATTACCTGAATTCCACAATTTATGCTATGGTGTTAATGACCGATACAATCTTTAAACATTACCCCTTTGAGGGGTGTTTGCTTTCATTTAAACAGGATTCAGTTCCTTAGATCAAAGAAGGAATATCTAAGAGCAAATATGTAGATGTTGTCAATAGGCTTGTTGGTACACTAGAAAATTGAGGGTAGTATAACCAAACCTCCAGAAATAGACT